TACTACTGATTAGTGTAGTACAGAAACGTCGACGAAAATATTTCGGTCTTCTAAGTTGACTTGCAAATTCTTTAGAAATTCTGTAAGGTGTTCGTATTTTTGACATATTAATGTTGTTGTTATGCTTGTTATGATTATGATTATTGCCGCCACCAAGAAGCCAAGCATCAGGCCACTGAAATAAAGAAATAAAGGAAGAAAAATGCTTGCACGGAATGATGAGTAAAACTTGACTTCAAATATTGAAAAAAAAGAAAGAAAAAACTGAAAATAACCTGAAATGTTTAAAAATGAGTTATTTTCGTAATTTTCTAGCGCAACACATTTCGAACAATCTGATCACACACACGGACTTGTCATAAGAATATTTGTATGTATATATCAAAATGAATAAAGAGTTAAGAGGTGAGAAAATGGACACTTAGGTCAAGTTAAAAGAACGTAATGGAGGTCAAAGATCACTAAACCAAATAAGAGAGGTAATAGTGTAATGACAGCAGACAAGGGCCAGGCAACAGATCGTTTATTGAGAAAATCAAGAGGTATTTATAGATTTTTATGTACATTATAGTTAGTGGAGAAGCAACCTCTTCTGATTGATTTTTTTCTTGCTGAAGGTTATTCTGTTATCTTGCATTGGCCGTTTTTGGTGTGGTTGTGTTCTCTGAGCTGGATAGCTAATTTAGGAAGCTTTCATCACCCTACTAGGTGACATTTTCAGCGCATACTTCAATGTGAATTGAAGTGAGCTTTTAGATTTCTCCGCGAGTTTATTAGTCATCTCACCTGATGGGTGACCTTGATCGTGGTGATTGGTTGTTTTTGTGTGTTTTCACACCCTCTAGGCTACTTGTATTGGAACTGATTGTTTCCCTGACTTGAACTTTGACCCTATGTTTGTGAGGTTTCTTTCTTATCGGTTGATAAATTTTGTCTATCTCGATGTGTCCATTTATTGACGATTCACTGGAATACCAGGCTTCTAAAAATTTTCTAGCATTCTTGGTGTTTCCTTTGTCTAATATTTGAACGTTGGTTGTCCCAGTCTAATTGATGTCCGTGGTTGTATGTACGGTGATGCGATATGAGGGAGTAGATGTCATGTCTTTTGACGGCTAGTTTATGTTCGTGGATACGAAGACGAAGTAGACGTCCACTTTAGCCAATGTAGTCTTTTTCGTAGTTGTTACAATTTATTTTGATGATGTTGGTTTCATCTTCTTTCGCTGTTGAGTCTTTTGGTTGACATAGAACTGAGTGAAGTGATTTTGTTGGTTTGTGTGCGACGTCAATTCCTAAAGGTTTGAAGAGTCTTGCGGTGATTTCTGATATATCCTTTATATATGGCAGGGCGATTTTCTTTATGCTTTCCTTGGGGCTTTTGGTTTGTTAGGTTGTCTTGGAGGTACATGTCTTTTGATGAAACTCCGTGGATATCCATTAATTTGGAAGACGTCCATGACATATCTTCCTTCAATTTTCCTTAAGATGGGAGTGCTGCAATGAGTCCTGGCTGGCCCACTTGAATAGTGTTTGTATACAATGCCTTTTGAGTGTTATTGGATTGTTGCTGTTGTAATTCAGTATTGGTCTGTGTGAGCTGATTTTCTATAAACTTGAGTTTCTCATTCTCCCATGGTTGTTCGCTTAACTAAGACGTCCAACATTGGGATTTCGTTCTCGGATTCATCTTCTCTTGTGAATTTGATGTCGTTGAAGACGTTGTTTATTAAGTTGACCATTTCTCAGAAAATCAAGCCATAGATCTACGAATCATATTTGCACTTGTTAACTCCGCTGTGATTGGCTGGTGATTCTCTCAAGGTTAAGCTTTGTTATTTTTTTTAGCATGCCCCTGATTCGTGACGTAAACGCTGACGTAAATTGTTGTCTACAATTTTGGCTTGCAGACAGCTTTCACCAAAATAGTACACCTAACCTAGCTAGTATCAAAACAAATTTTACCGAGGGAGGTTTAAGTGTGATGCCGAATTGTCGCTTTGAACACATAAAGGTGGTTTACACTTGCTAATTACCAGCTAGGGCTTCTAAAAACTTTAGGATACTCCCCAAACACGTCTAATAGATAGGTTTAAATGACGTGTAAACATCAATTTTATGTCCTGTTCTCACCATTAATGGGTTCTGGGGATTCTATTTACTTCTGGAGCTATTTAGAAATGTGTTGTGAAGCCAGCCCTTACTTGCAGAGATCGATGAGTCCTCCCTATGTATGTGTGGCCACATGTACATTTAAACTGTTATATACATTGGAGTGTGACATCATTTTTCTCATGTTCAAAGGGCTTAGATGGATATACTGGCTTCACATTCTCAATTATTATGATACTATGCGTTCAAAAACAATTTGCTATCACAATAAATCCTCACACGTGACTGGGGATTTCCCACCGACGACATTGGTTGGGGTCGCCCTAAATCATGAATTGGTAGAAGTTAGGTATCATGCGCCTTTGGATCGGATCCTAGTGGCTGAATGATGTATGAGCTTTCCTTGTAACCGGAAGGTCCTGGGTTCGAACCATGCCAGCTGATGCGTACTGCCGATGATTCCCAAACTAGGATGAAACAGGTGTCCAGTACTCCAGTGCTGGTTTTCAATGGTTCTCTAACTGATATCAATCCGTGATCAACTCGTAAAAACAAAACTAATTGTTTAAAATTCTGAAGTTTTATTTCACTTGGCTGACGTTCCGATATCACAGTAGACATCACAATCACTGCCTCACCTTCTTTGGGAAGTAGTTATAATGTGAAAATGTGTGCACTTCTTTTATATTCAAAGCTGAATTATACGATTTCAAGCTTTGAAATTTCATTAGTGATGGTGTTGCTTTTAGGGGATGAGATTGCCAGAATCACTCTCAACTGTCTCCCTGTCTTTTCTTGGCTTAATACTGGCTAAACGAAGTTTAGGAGTGTGTTGGATGGGAATCGAACACCAGACAACATGCATTGTTGGCGGATAATCCACTGTTAAAATTTTATTGCAACTGACGAGATATTGACGAAGTACACACTGCATCTGTCTTATCCTGTTCCTCAATGTGTTATTATTGCTTTGTTCGGATTCATTAGGCCGCAGATTCGCGTATCATTAGGAAAAGTAAACAGGGTCCAGAAATGTGTGTCGAACACTTTTTCCATACTATCTGCGTGACTGGCAAGTATTCTACTGATAATGTAAGGGTAGAACTTAGGCACACTGTGGTATAATGTAATTCCATATTATTATTATTATTCCCTTAGGTTCCGAGTGGAACATACAGCTTCAACAACACAACTCCACTTTGTTATATTCGGTGCTATCCTCTTCAAGTGGCTGGCTCAATGACTACCCATAATCGCTCATCTCCTCTTCCACCTCGCATGACCTCCTCCATGTCACCCTCGCGCAGACGAACCACTCATCGCCTCTCATTGGGATTCCACTCCAGCAATGGCCTGCATTGAGCGCGATGTCATTAGATGGACTTCTCAATGTATGCCCGATCCATCCATCTGCATTTTCTTCCACATATTTGTTGAGCAATCGGCTTTCTCCTGTCTATTTGTTCCCGGTCAGTCAGAGTTTCTTGTTGTTAATTTCTTCTGGCCTGCCAGCCAGTGATATTCAATATGGAGCTAGCCAGCAAAGTGGACAGCAATTGATGAAAGTCTGCAACCTGTTGGAAATACTTTTCGTGACACGCTGGCCAAGTTTCTCACCCCTATAGAAGAACTGAACGACTTCACATTGGTGGTGAAAATCCGAATCTTGTTCTTTGTGCTGAAGTGGAGTAAAGCAGAAGATTTCCAAACTTGTTTCAGCTTAATAAAGGCGTATCTTACCCTTCCAATTCTGACTTTGACATCTTATTTTAAATATCCCACAGTGAGGCAGTATTAACAATTGTTGTTAATACGGCTTAAAGTCCTGAGTTTTTCTTAGACTTGTGTAATCTCTGGAACCATTTACATTTCCTATATATTGATCTATATATATATAGGAAGACTCCAAATTTAAAGGTTTCAAAGAAACAGGAACTGCAGATAGACTACAAGCCAGTTTCAATACAGGAAAACTGAAGGATCAGGCCACAGAAAGTATCTTCACTGCAATCATAAGGGAAAATGCGGAGACACAGATCAACACTAGCGAAGAGACCAGCGTTGAAAAGCACTGGAAGCGGTGTGGAGTCAAACCTGCATGGAAGTTCTAGGCAAAAAGAAGAGACAGGACAAACAGTGGCTCACTAAAGACACGCGGAGACTAGTGGAAGAAGGAAGGATGGTGAAAAAAACGATTATTCACTGAATCGACGAGCAACAAAAACAGGAGTTGAATGCAAGCTGCAATACACTGAACAAAAGTGGAACCCGAACGGGGAGCGGTGAGTTAGTTGGTCGTCAATGCGAGAGTGATATGGAGAAGGTTATGTGAAGAGGAGATGAAGGCATGTGGACAGACACGGAGCCAGATGAAAAAGCTGGCAGAGAACCGAACGCAATGGAGACGTGCGGCTGAAGCTCTATGTTCTTCTAAGAACTAAAGGAAACAATAATAATATAATGATATATATTGACCTAACCACTTTGAACTTCCTTCCAGTGTTACGTAATATAGTGGTGAGAGCTGACTGCTAGCCAAATTTGGTAGACAGTAATTGACGTCAGTGTTTATTTCTCCAATATTGGTGGTGAGAAAATGAGAACAAAGGCTTTGCGTAGGCGGATACAGTTAGAATATGGATGATCTGACACAGCCACAAAGAGATGCAAGGTTAAATTTCTGTGAGAAACAACCAATCAAAAGACTGTTTCTTCTAATAAGAATAATCTACAATAATGTACACTAAAATCTATAAATATGTGTTGATCTTCCTTAATAAACGATCTGTTGCCTGGCCCTTGTCTTCTGTTGTTACAATATGACTTAAGTTATAGGTGGGAGTAGGTAGGTGAGGGGAAGGGAAATGTAGGGAATATAATTATTTCCTTTAAAAAAGCTTTTGACTAACCTCATTATTTTCAAAATCAATTAAATCAGCTTCCCGACATCCTGTACTCTTAGTGAAGCATATTGATGTTTCAATAATGATATAATCAATTGAATAATTACGTAATATGGTATATACTTCATCCAATGATTTCCTTCCATATATTTGATAAAGCTATAGGGAGAAATTTTTAAATAGTATTAATAAAACAAAAACACATATATGTCACAAAATATCTCATTAAAGAAATTATTTGATCAAAAAGAATAAAAAAAGTTAGAGCGAACATTTATTGTTTTCAGTCAGTTCTTCTTCAGGCTCTACAGTTACAAATCTACTAATTTTAGCACCCACTCAACAAGGCGTTTGAAGTGAATACAGGAGTAAGATAAGGCCGCCTACTATTACCGATGATATTCCTGACTGCAGTGGACTGGATTATATGTCACAGTGTGCACAAGGAGTGAGAAGACGCTCAGGAGTTGAACCGATGAGAAGACTCTAGAAGATCTGGATTTCGCTTTTGGATGATTTATGTTTTATTTCACGCAAACTAGAAGACTTACAGTCAAAAACCAACAAACTGGCTGAAGAAGTAGCTATCAAAAGCAGGACTCCAGGGGAACTTAGAGAAGACGGAGGTGATGAAGGTAACCAACAAACAGCAACAACAACGAAAACCAGCACCAGTCACCATCAACGGGAGAGATTTGATAGAGGTTACCTCCGTCACTTATCTAGGAAGCATCGTTTAAACGATAGGCGGGACGGATGAAGGTGTCAAATCCAGTAAGGACCGAAAAGGCGGGATACGCCTTCATCAACCTGAAACAAGTTTGGAAATTTTCTGCTGCACTCCACTTCAGCATAAAGAACAAGATTCGGATTTTCAACACCAATGTCAAGTCGGTCAGTTCTTCTATAGGGGTGAGAAACTTGGCCAGCGTGTCACGAAAAGTATTTCTAACAGGTTACAGACTTCCATCAACAGATGCCCCTTTGAGCTGGCTTCATATTGGAGATCAAATGGCTGGCCAGAGAGAATTAGCAACAAGAAACCCTGGCGATAAACAAACCAACCAAGAGTCGGTTGCTCAACAAATATGTAAGAGAAAATGGAGTTGGATGGATCGGGCATACGTTGAGGAGGCCGTCGAGTGACATTGTCCGCCAGGTCATCGCTCGAGTAAAATTCGAATAGGAAGCGACGAGTAAAGCATTTGTCGGAGGGTGACATGGAGGAGATGAGGAGATTGTGGTCAATCGTGGATTCATCTGAAGAGGATAGCACTGAATAGAACAAAGTGGAGATGTGTTGTCGAAGGCTTACGTTCAGAACTGTTCAGAACCCAAGGGAACGATAATACCCCATCAGCTGTGTAACCATTTCAATTCACTTAAGAGAACCAAATCACCTGAAATCACCCGAATTGAGGCTAATTACTTGGACAAACAGGTAATTCTGTAGATCGCAGTTTACACACTATGAGTGATTATTTCACCTCATTTTCCTTTGGAAACTATGCGTGAAACTCCACCACTAACTGTCTGATTGACTGGGTTTCAACGTAGACGTTAGAAGAGAAGTGTAGTAGTTCAACTTATCACACTATATGTAACCCACAAGGGTAAAAAAAAGAGAGAACAAAGAAATTCAAAAGAACTGTAATTAGTGGAAATGTATGGCGGAAAGAAACATTTCTTAGCTTCCCAAGTGGAAGTAGAATTGAGCTCGACTTATTTGAAGCTTCATTAGCGAGGCGGTCGTTTCCACGGAGGGGGGGGAGCGGGGTTGAATCGTTAGTTTCATGCTTAACCCTCCCTCTTTTCTGAGCTAATGACTAGTATTGTTACTATTCTCTTGAGGTCCAAGTAGAATATTGGGCTTCAACAGCACATCTCCATTTTATCCTGTCGTTTGTAGCTCCTTTTGCCGCCTCACGACTGCTCAAGGACTTTCATCTTCTACTCATGCAATGTTCCTCAAATCACACTTGAAGCTCAAGTAGTCGTTTTTCCATTCGAATTCCCCTCGAGGTTGTGCCTGGTGCGCGATATCATTCAACAGTCTGTTCAGCGTGTGTCCAATCCATCTTAATTTTATTTGGATTATTTGTTGAGCAATGCCTTGTCGACTGGTTCTTTCCCAGAGTTTCTTGGTGATATTCCTTACTCGCCAATCGGGTGGTCTACAATATGCTCCGAAGGCAGCTGCAGCCTCAGGATGGTCGGGGGTGGGTTGGCCACCCCTCTGCACACCTCTTGAAATGCTCCCATATGACCGGGCGTCTTACATAGCCTCTCCTCAGGAAGTCCTACTCACTGCCTTCACGTGGCGGAGGTGTTTTTCACCAAAGTGAGAGGGCGAAAGCGGATGCCCGGCTCTCTTCACCGGGTTGACTGTCCATTGGATGACAGTCTAGGGGAGATGGCTAAACCCTGATTCCAAACCTCCAACGACTGGCGTATGAAGCTCACTGGAGCTCACCGGCAGACGTATGGACAAAGGGCTTGTTGGATATCCTGGATGTCTGGCCCCATTCAAAAAGGCGTATGAACCGAACTCCGGTCACCGGCTGCCAATGGATACTGGACTCCCTACTCCACTCCTACTGCCTTGTAGGTCACACTTGGTTGTGTAAAGGCTAGAGCTGCACTCTCAAACAAAAGACCGAGCGATTCTGGGGACATCACTCGTACCAAATTCCCATGAAACTTCATGAACTCTCTTACAAACGACTCTCACCATGCTACGGCGTTCCCGGTAAGCGACACGCCCTGTGCTCACCCGGTGGCAGCGATGATTCGATATGTTCATGAAGCCGGCTCATCTTCCCGTAGGAGATAGCCGAAGTAAAGTAAAGTAAGTAAAAGAAAGCAGCTGCTGATAATAGTCTGCAACTCGTTGGAAATGCTTCTTGTGAAACTGCAGTTTTCTGAACTATACAGAAAAAGTGATTTATCATTGATGTTGAAAATCCGAACTTTGTTCTTAGCGCCAAGTGAAAAAGATTTTCGTACTGATTTCAAAGTGGTGTAAGTTTACCTTACCTTTCAAATCCTAACTGCTTTTCATATCCTAATCCGTGCCACCTGTAGGTGAAATTATACTGTTTAAATAAGTGAAGAAGTGACCTCATTTAAAAACAGGAATCGGAAAGACAAGACAAACCTTCATCACTCTGAAATCAATTTGAAAATCTACCGCGCTCATCAAAAAAAACAAAATTCCCATTTTCAACACCAATGTTAAGTCAGTCAGTTCTTCTACATGGGTAAGAATCTTGGTGTTTGCGTAGCGGAAAGCATTCTTAACAGGCTACTAGAGACTTTTATCAACAGCTTCCACCTCTCCATAATGAAGACCAGATGGCTGGCCAGAAAGGAATATCAGCAAGAAACTCTGAGAACGAATCAATCAAGAACCTACTGCTCAAGAAATATTCGGAAGGAAATAGAGATTAACTGGATATGCCCGCTGAAGAGACCATTGAGTGACATAAAGCGCCAGCCTGTCACTCATTTAGAACCCAAATGGGAAACGATAAGTCGGCAGTTGGCCACGAGGCTGACCTGAAGGAGATGATTTAATGAGGAAGACATTCAAGCTTATGGGTAATTATGGCGCCAGCTACAAATGCACTGCAGAGGGTAGAAAAGATTGAAATAGAGATGTTCCACTCAGAACCCAAGGGAATAATAATAATATTAACAAGGATGATGAATTCAGCCTACCTCTTTTGTCCGCCTACGTAATTCAGCATTTTCATAATGTGGGTGATTAGCTATTGGTCGGGATGTACAACATTTTATCGCTGCCATTAATTGCATACTACCTGTGAATATACTCCGATTGTTTACATTACTTCTAAAATATATGAGAACAGAAAAACACATGCGGAAGAAAATTTTAGACAGACGTTTATATAAATATAAATGTATTGATAGCGACACCAAATGTAACGACAAAAGACAAGGGCCATGCAACAGATTGTTTATTGAGAAAATCATGAGACATTATTATTAGCGTTATTGTTAGCGGAGAAGCAACGTCTTCTAATTGGTTGTTTTCTAACTCCAGGTTACTTTGTACTGCTTGTGACCGTTTCTTAGAAAGTTAAGTCATATACCTGCGAATCGTATTTGCACACGTTAAATCTGCTGTGATTGGTTGTTGAGTTCCTCATGATTAAGCTTTGTTTTCGTTTTTTTCCATTGACCTAGATTCGGGACGTAAACAATGACGTGAATTGTTCGTCTCCAAGTTTGGCTTGCAGACAGCTCTCACCACAATTTAACTTATGAGAGAAGAAAAATACCAAACAAGAAAATCTGCTCGACACTTTTTAAACGGGATTATAATGTTGGTAACTATGGCAACAGAACAGAATTTTGCTTTCCACTCTTTCTTATTGCATAAATTACTTTTCAAAATTAAAAAAAATCAGTTTGAACGGTTTTCACTTATTATGTTAGTGTTAATCTCCTTTAGTAACACGAACAAAATGTGCATCTGTGGTTCAGTATTGGAAGATTTATCAGTCAATCACGTTGACCGGATTTGTTCCCCGACAACCAAATGACTCCTAAACTTCCCCAATTTTACTAGTTGGCTGTTAAGTCACTGCTACTTACTATACGTTAGGATCAGAGACTTGGTGCCACATCACGAACGGCACTTCGAACAAACTACAGAACTTCATTAACAACTGTCTCCGTTCAACACTACTCAAGATAAGATGGCCAGAAAAAATCAGCAACAGGGAGGGATCTCTGGGAGTGAACCAATCCAGCAGGAACCAATTGTGCAACAAATATGCACGAAGAAATGGAGGTGAATTGGCCATACTCTGAGAAAATCATCAATTGAGGGATATTACACGCCATGCCATCTCTCGAGTGGAACCCGAACGGGAAGTGGAGAGTCGGTCGTCAGTGCGAGGGTGACATGGGGGAGGTCATGCGAAGAAGAGGTGAAACCATGTGGGCAGATGCGCAGCCAGGTAAAAACGGTGGCAGTGAACCGAACGCAGTGGAGACGTGTGGCCGAAGCCCTATAACAATGAGTTGGAAAAAGAGTTGGAATTCCTGGACTGGTCACTGGATTGGATCCCACTGTCCCTGTTTTCTCTCCCTGTTAGGTGTGGGACTAGAGGCCAAACTCCAGAAAATCA